AACAATTGGTCTTAAAGGTACACCTTGTTTGTGGATTTTAGGTAAACCATACAGACTAGGTGTGGCCTCCCCTGGGTACAGTCTGTGGTACAGAAAACGGTCAATAGCCTTTATTTTCTAAACATAACGTCCCAGTGGCTTTCAAACCCCAAAAAACATTACAGCAAAGACTGGTTCATCCCAAAGATCCAGTCCCCCGGCACAAACAAAGCAATGTTGTGTATGCTGTTCAGTGTCAGGAGGGCTGTGATCAGTCTTACATCGTGGAAACAAAACAGCCACTGGCCAAAAGGATGGCCCAGCACAGAAGATCAACATCATCAGGCCAGGACTCTGCGGTCTACACTCATCTCCAGGCCAGCGGTCACTCTTTCAGGGATGAAGATGTTCACATCCTGGACAGAGAGGAATGATGGTTTGAGAGAGGAGTAAAGGAGGCCATCTTTGTGAAAAGAAATCGTCCATCATTAAACAGGGGTGGAGGCCTCCAGGTTCAACTGTCCCCCTCTTACAATGCTGTGATTGCTAGTATCACTCAGCCCACTGTGAATAGTAAACAGCCATCAGTGTGCTAATGATCCATTGTTAGGCTGATGGTCCTTCTTGAGCATGTGATCAGCTGGTTTTGGTTGTCACCAGCAAAACTGGTTGATCCACTCTGAGACGGTGCTATTTAAGAGACTGAGCTGAATACAGCTCCTCAGACTGAGGAAGTCTCTCGGATGAGAGACGAAATGTTTCTACATTTTTTTGTTGATTTGCTTTGTTTTGGGGTTTTTTGAATGTCCAGAGGACCAGATTTAACTTTTTTAGACTAACCAAGAGCCTGAACCTAACCACCAGACCCTTTACTCTAAACCTAACCAAGATTATAAACCTAACCGCCAGACCCTTTACTGTAAACCTAACCACGTGAAGCTATTATGACATCTAACAAAGCTAAAACCAGTCTATTATCATCGCTAACAACGTACCTTTAAACCCACTAGGAAGTACAGGAGGGGCAGTCTGACCGCTACATATGGGGATGATAACGACTAATAACAGCCATTTAATGTCTGATAACATTCAAAGCGGGTGGAAAATTAATTAAAAGCATTAAAAACATAGAAACACAGAACTAAAAACATTAAATCAACTCACAATATGTGAAATGCCAGAGAAAACAGATGTGTTTTTAGCAGAGATTTGAACACAGGAAGGGAGGTGGTCTGCCTAATGTTGGGGGGTAGGTTGTTCCAGAGTTTGGGGCCCATGACTGAAAAGGCCTGATCACCTCTGAGTTTCAGTCTTGTTTTAGGAACAGTCAAAAGCAGCTGATCAGATGATCTCAGGGCCCGAGAGGGAACATATGGTTCCAGTAGCTCAGAGAGAGGTAAAGGGGTGTGAGGTCATTTAGGTCGTTTTCACACCAGATAGTCCGGTAGACTCGGTTCGGGACCAATATTCATGACATTTTGTTTACATTTGAGCTGGTGCGTTTGCATTCACACTGCACTGTGCAGTCAAGTCAACCTGTTGAACCAACCTATTCCCCCGCTCGCCTGTGGGGGCGCTGCACCAAGAACTACTGAAAGAAATTACACAAAAAACTCTGAAGACACTTCTTCTTCTTCTTTTGTAAATAAAAACAAAAACGGAGTGGCATCAAGTTTTAGCAGTTTTAGGAGTTATATTTTGTCATTTTTCAAAAATGGACTTAGCATGAGCAGAAGATGAGACAGAAGACCATGGAGAATATTGTTTTTCCACACAAGGCAGCTGACGGCTCCATATAAGGTAAGAGCAATGCGTGTTTGTTTGTCCTGCGGAACGGGGCCCGGTCTGTTTACATTCACACTGTACTCGAACCGCACTGGAGTTCTCTTCTACCGGACTGAAACCTAGGTTTTAGCCCGGGCCAGAGTTCGCCTTTTTGTTATGTGACAGAGTTCGATGGCGCGTTCACACCTCCCTAAACGAACCGGACTTTCTAGGAAAACGAGCTAGAGTTCGATTAAAGCGGACTAAACAGGACTGGTGTGAATGCACCCTTAAGCACTTATAGGTCAACAAGAATTTTTTTAAAATATTCTAGTACGAACAGGGAGCCAGTGAAGAGAGGACAGAACTGGTGTAATATGGTGTAATATGTTCAGACCTACGAGTTCTAGACAAGCTGAAGAAGAACTGACAAGACATGAGCCAAGTGGAGCCACATTTAACAATGGCAAAGCAGCTATTGACTACTCTCCCAACACGCAGAGGGCCCACATGACGGTAGCTAGAGCTAGCTATAGCATCACCTGCAACTCAGATATGAGCCAATTTACATTTGAAATGCATAGAAATTGATTGCACTTACATTGAGTCTGGAAATCATATTACTGAGCTGTGGGCGTTAGTGTTAGCATGCTCTTACCATTTAGGTCACAAAAATTTGGTCTATTTTGACTAATGTAGTGTGGAACTTTGTACACTACTTTTATTGAATTAATTTCTAGATCACTGTATGGGGGATGCAATATTACAGTTTAAATTTTGAACATCATTATAAGATAATTTGCACTGTATAGTGAACGAGTAAACTGTTTTAAACACTAATTAGCAAAAGTTTGATAAATGAACTTACTCAAGCTAGTGGATTTAATAAAAAATATCAAAGAACTATGAACATTAATGAATTAAATTTATTTGTGTGAATTGAGCTTTGAATTAGTTCTTGTTAAGAATGAGCATGCATAGCACTGCAAGTGAGACAGGTGACCAGAAGAGACACAAGTGAGACACGTAAAAGACACACTGGTAAGACAGATGAACAGATGGTTGGGCAGACAAGTGAGACAGCCAAGTGTACCTTGGAGATGGTCCGATTGTGGAAACCCCTGCATACTTACAAAAAGGTAGCAGGACAGACAGACAGGTGAGACAGGCAAAAATACAGGTGTGCAAGTAAACATGTTGACAGACAGGTGTGCAGGCGAACAGGTGGTCGGGTAGACAGGTGAGACAGCCAGGTGTGCAGATAAACAGGTGGTCAGGTGGATGAACAGATAGGTGAGACAGCCAGGTGTGTGTTGAAGGTGTACTGGCTCTAGTACTCCTGCACACAGAGGCAGAGCTGCTGAGGGGACAGGTGGACAGGTGAGACAGTCACGTGTGCAAGTGGATGGATGAACAGACATAGGAGACAAGTAGGTATACCTTGAGGATGTACTGGCCCTGGTACTCCTGCACACAGAGACGGAGTTGCTGAGGAGACAGGTGCATCGATCGGCTCTTCTTTCTGATAGACTCAGCAATCAGCTGCTCAGGTAAAGTGTCATGGCTCACCTGTGTAAAAACAAAGGTCAAAAGTAATGTGAAAGACCACAGCAGAACCTGATTCTACCCTAATCATTCTTAGTTATGCTATGATAATGTGGTATGGATTTAAAATAATCTGACTACAGATTATCCTGATGCATGCTCAATAATCCAGGTAGAAAAATCTAAAAAAGTTAAATCTGGTCCTCTGGACATTCAAAAAAACAAAACAAAGCAAAACAACAAAAAAATGTAGAAACGTTTCGTCTCTCATCCGAGAGACTTCCTCAGTCTGAGGTGCTGTATTCAGCTCAGTCTCTTAAATAGCACCTTCTCAGAGTGGATCAACCAGTTTTGCTGCTGACAACCAAAACCAGCTGATCACATGCTCAAGAAGGACCATCAGCCTAACAATGGATCATTAGCACACTGATGGCTGTTTACTATTCACAGAGGGCTGAGTGATACTAGCAATAACAGCATTGTAGGAGGGGGACAATTGAACACGTAGGCCTCCACCCCTGTTTAACGATGGATGATTTCTTTTCACAAAGATGGCCTCCTTTACTCCTCTCTCAACCCATCGTTCCTCTCTATCCAGGATGTGCACATCTTCATCCTTGAAAGAGCGACCGCTGGCCTGGAGATGAGTGTAGACCGCAGAGTCCTGGCCTGATGATGTTGATCTTCTGTGCTGGGCCATCCTT